TATTCTACTTCTAATTCTTTTCCGAGAACTTTGTCTCTGACAAAGTGAATGTCTAGCTCGATGTGTTTTGTTTGAGCATGATACATGGGATTCGTTGCTAGTGCTTCAATACTCATATTGTCACGCCACAGAATTGGGGTTGAAGTTTGTAGTAATCCAAGCTCTTTGAACAATGCCTGAGTCCACGAAATTTCTGAGGCCCCAGCTGCTAGAGCTCTATATTCAGCTTCCGTGCTTGATCGAGCTACCACATGTTGCTTTTTTTACGACCATAATATCAAATTATCTCCCAAATAAATGCAATATCTGGCTGTAGATCTTCTATCATCTGGACAAGAAGCCCAGTCTGCATCTGTATATCCATTTAAGGTCAGACTATCGTTTCTTTGTATCCACAGCCCCTAATTGATGGTTCCCTTTAAGTATCTTAGTACTCTTTTTACTGCCTGCCGTGTGCTGTTGTCAGTGACTAAAGAAATTGGCTCAGTTTGTTGACAGAAAAGGTAATGTCTGGCCTTATATGTGTTAGGTACTACAACCCTCCTACTACACTTTTGTAAATTGAAGGGTCTTTTAATGCTTCTCCATCCGTTTTGGAAATGGTTTTGCCTGTGATGATAGGTGTTGGGCGAGGCTTTACATTTTGGAGCTCAAATTTCTTGAGTAACTTAGCAATATACCTTGTTTGTGTAAGGTGAATGCCCGAGTCATGCCAACGGACTTCTATTCCCAGGAAGTGATGAAGTCGTCCCATGTCTTCGAGTGCAAATTTTTGATTCAGTTGGTCGATAAATCTTTGCAACAGCCATTTGTCATTCCCTGTTATCACTATGTCATCAACATAGATGAGGGCAAATATGATCTGAGTGTCATTTTTAAAGTAAAACAGTGATGTATCAGCTCTTGATTGTTGAAATTTCCAGCTCAATAATGTAGTTTTCAGCTTGTCATGTCAGGCTCTAGATGCTTGCTTCAATCCATAGAGTGCCTTTTCAAGTTTACAAACATGAGACGGTTTTGAGTTATCTATGAATCCTTCAGGTTGGTTCATATACACAGCCTCTTCAAGTTCTCCATTCAGAAAAGCGTTATTGATATCAACTTATCCGATATTCTATCGTTTGGAGACTACAAAGGTGAGGATGATTCTTAGAGTAGAAGGCTTGATGACTGGGCTGAAAGTTTCGTAGAAATCAACTCTAGGTGTCTGATGAAACCCCTTTGCCACCAACCTTGCTTTGAACCTTTGAACTGATCCATCTGAGTTATGTTTCACTCTGAAAACCCATCTATTTCCGACTGTGTTATGTGACTGAGATGGAGGTACAAGTCTTCAGGTTTTGTTTGTTACTAGAGCTTTGAACTCTTCCTCCATAGCTGCCCTCCAATTGTCATTCATTAAGGCTTCGACAACACTTTTTGGTTCTATCTCTTTGGACTTATACTCAGTGGACTGGCCAGTATAGACTTTTGGTTTGAACACTCCAGCTTTTCCTCTAGTAACCATAGGATGATGTTGTTGATCAATTGTCTTTTGCTTATGCCTTTGCCTCGACTCATTAGGAACTGACTTCTGATTATCATCATAGGAACTGACTGCTTGGATGCAGGCAATGCATATCTTGGGTTGCATAAAGAGGAGTTATATCAGCAAGATTAGAAGAAGAACCTGAATTGTTGAGGTGATGAGGAAGATGAAAATATGACACTTCTGAAGTAGATGAAGTAGGATTTGACTCTTTTTGTGCAGTGAATAAGGATTCGGAAGGGAAATCAGACTCATTAAAGACTACATGTCTTGAGATGTACATTCTTCCAGTTGAGCTTAGACATTTAGTGTGTGTTTGGTAGGGATTTTTTGGGGGAAAAATTGATTTTGAATAGTGATATGATGGGAAATGTGTGGTTGAAAAAGAAGATAAGATTATTGATGTGATAGAAAATATTATTTTATTGAAGAATGTGTGGTTGAAAATGAGAATTGACTTACTGTTATGTGTGGTTGAAAAAGAAGATAAGATTATTGATATGATAGAAAATATTATTTTATTGAAGAATGTGTGGTTGAAAATGAGAATTGATTTACTGTTGAAAATGAGAATTGGTACCAAACATAGCCTTATACTCTTTGTGAGAATCACTATAGCCAAGAAAAACACACTTGGTTGAGTGGAAGCTTAGCTTGTGTGCTTGATAAGGTCTCAAGCATGGATAGTAGGCACACCCGAAAGTTTTGAGAGCTTTGTAGTCAACTTTCTTTTTGTATAAGACTTCAAAAGGTGATTGCATTTGGAGAGTTGGAGCAGCCATTCTATTTATGAGGTAGGTTGCTGTCAAGAAAGACTCCCACCAGTATTTCGGAGGCATTTTGGCTTGAGCTAAGAGGGTCAATCCTGTTTCGGTAATATGTCGATGTTTTCTTTCAATTCTTCCATTTTGAGCTGAGGTATAAGGGCAAAGGTGTCTAAACTCAATTCCACATTGTTTGACAAGATTTGCAAAGCTCCTATACTCCCCTTCCCAATCAGATTGTAGGGTTTTTATTTTTCGATCAAATTTGTTTTCAACCAATTTTTGAAATTGAGTAAAAATGTTGAGGGCTTCAGATTTTTGTTTCATAGGGTATATCCAGGTATAACGGCTGCAGTCATCAAGGAAAGCAATGTAAATAGTTAAAGCCTTGATGTTCTTTGATGCACTATTGAATGAGTTCCACATGTCTGATCAAATATCTCTGAAGGATGTAAAAGTTGAAACCAATGATAAGATGTCATGTGGCATTATATCAACCATTACGTTATTGTAGCATGATTCTATAGAAAATGCAAAATACAAAACATTTTGCTTAAAACTTGATCCCAATATGTGACCAACTAATTAGTTCTTGTTTCAATCAAGCTAAATTAATACTATAAAGTGATGTAGCAGAATTTACCATGACTTATGATTAATTTTGATTCATAATTACAAACTGAAAAGCCACAAACTCTATTATCTTTCTTAATCTCCAAGCTTCCACCATCGAAGCCTTCTTTAGTATTCTTCCAAGTATTGATTGTGCAAATAAGTGGGCACTAAGAAAAGTCAAATTCAATTCATAGAGCTTGACTTATTTTTGACCGAAATGACACAAGGGGGAACAAGGAAAAGTAATTTTTATCTCTCTATAGATGCGTATGGCTAAGGGAATACTCAGTCGAGCCACTTATCCTTTGCAACATCGATAAGTTACGAAAAATGAAGAAAGAGACCTCATTCGAAAAATGGGTTTGGACTTTACCCCCAAATGGTATGCCCTAGCACTTGCATGTATAGGTTTAGGGCTCCTCTCCTAGTTCTATTTTGTCTCGAAAAATATTTTTATTTTTTTTGCATGTGCATTCCTTGAACTTTTATTATGAATGTAATTAAAGCTTATTTATGAAGTGTTTATAAACGATTTTGATTACAAATAAATAGATAAGTTAGTAATTTTGTCCCCAAAAATGTAGTTTATGAACATTAGCCAAAGACGGGGCTAAGTCGAAGACTTTAAAAAACTACAAAATGGTTATAATTTAAGCTCTAAAAAACCACATTCAAGCAAACTCGTACAAAACCATTTTTAGTTTTCACTCACTCTAACAAAACCACGTTAAGGCCATGTTTAGTCAACATTATTTTTTTCATTATTATTCTTCTACTCATTTTCAACCACACGTTATTCAATAAAATAATATTTTCTATCACATCGATAAATTTTCCTTTTTTTCAATCACATATTCCACATCACATCAACAGTAAAAATGTATTCTTACCTTCAAAATATGTACCAAACGATGGCTAAAGCAAGAAACTTAACTCTTAAATTAAATAAAATCACATCAACAATAATATTTCAATTTCCTACAATTATATCCTCTTGACTTATCAACTTTACATCCTACACCTATCATATATCAAATAATTGGATCTAAAGTGATATTTTCGTCCTTCTAATTAGTCTCTCTCAAACTCGTTTTTCTATGACAGTTTTTTTTGCAATTCACAGGAAAATGATTCATTAGTGATGGAATCCAAACATGGAAAGTTCTCAATATTTCGATTTCTATCGACTCCAACGTACAGAGATATTTTATCATACATGTGGAACTCATTCAATAATTGCATCAAAGAACATCAAGTCAAAGAAGAACACCACTACTACGAATTTAGGTAATTCATAAGATAATCAAGTGTATATATTATTCTTCACACTATCATGTTATAAAAATTGATCTACAACCTTATCAAAACAAAGTGGCCATTTCTCTTCATCGATCTATGACAAATTAATTCTCGATCAAAATATGAGTTATATCTAACTATGATTTTTTATACAAGCACCTAACTCACATTATAAACAAAAGGGATCGAATACACCTCATCACATTATAAATGGAGGGAAAGTCCATTTTAATGTAATCAACCCATAACCATAAAAAACGAAAGGATTGGACACATCTCAATTTTGTCAAGCTTCGAATTCCCTTCTCTATTAGCAACATTATTAGTATCCTTTTTCCTGTAAATCC